AACAGAGATCGTAAGAACATCCAATAGGGTTGTTGTAAGGGATAATGAGTTAATATATGCAAAACCTTGGATCAGGGTGTTTGGAGCTGGATTCTGAGGCTAGGGACTGGGACTTGGGTACATGGGCTGGTCGCTTGGGCCTGATTCTTGGAGTAACCAAGTCTCCATTTCTTTACTGGCCTTATACAGAAAACTAAAACAGGATGATATACTAGAGCTTTGCTTCCTACACTTGGCTGCACATTAGAATCACCTGAAGATCATTTTCTAACATTCCACAGCCCAGGTTGCACCCAAGACCAATTAAATCATAATCACTATGGGTGAGACACAGGTATCAGTATTTTTGAAGCTCCCAGATGATTCCAATATACAGAGAAGTTGGGAACCACTGTGGTAGGGAGAAATAAGGAGGCTTTTTTAAAGTCACTAGTCAGGAAGGGCTTCTCTGGGGAGGTGGCATTTGAATGGGGACCAAAGAGTAAATAAGGAGCCATCATTGGAAAGTCAGGGGTTTGGAAAAGCCTTTGGGAAGGTGTCTGGCCTACGCATCTGCATGCCTGGAGGTGCCTTTGTCCAAAGTGGAGAAGATCGAGGGAGGAATGGGCTTGGGTTGGTGGGTTCCAAGAGAATGGGTGAGTAATTATGGCTGAGTGAAGACACTCTGCCCCTTCTGCAGGTCAGCACTTGGAGAGGCCGAACCACACCACGCCCCCAGTAGCTATGGGTGCTGGAAGTCAAGCCCTACTGGTTCATCAAGAGTTCATGGTCATCACTGTGGGGCATCAGTGGCTACATCCTAATGTCTGCCAAGAACACCACCTGTGGCATCACCACCACTGCCACCTACCTACCCCATCCTGCTGTGATCTGTAACTGAACAGCTCCTGGCAGATACCCCTGCCCGCCAGTGAGACTTCCCCCTCCTCATGCCTGTCCCTGGAGAGAGGCAGGCAAGGGCTGTCTAATGGGCAGACTATGGCGAGGCAGAGACTCGGTCAGAGTCACGCAGCAATGCTAAGGGGTGGCGCTGCACTTAGTCATGCAGCAATGCAGCCCTCTCTACCTCGTGCTGGCTTCAGGAGGCCTCTCTTTCCCTGCCCTCCTGCTTCTGACCCTGTTGGGAGATCTGGTTTTCCGTGGTTGGGGGTATGGGTGGGTGGTGGCCGGACACCACTCTAGACAAGCAAGTGTGTGTGAATAGAACAAAAGCAGTAAAATTGCACCAATTTGGGTTGTGTGATTATCTGTCATGTCTGGGCTGGCATTTCCCTTGGTGTTGGCTACAGGAGAAGAGTCAGTCCAGTATATACATCCTGGGAGAGTGAGTGGGGACAAGCTCTCCTGTGGGGTCATTTGCTCATACAAAGAAACCACTAGGCTCCTGCCAGCCTCTGACTGGGCACTGGACACTTCTCTGGGAGCTGGTGCTTGGAGCTGGGAACTGGGGGCTGGATATTTAAGGCCAAGTACTTGGGCTGAGTTCTCAAGCTGGGTACTGGACTTGAGTACTTGGGGCTAGGTGCTTGGGCTTGCTTTCTGGAATAACTAAGGTCCCATTTCTTTATTGGCCTATACAGATGAGCCTGTCCCCTAACCTGTCCTTTCCGCAGCTTCACTGCACATGGCTTCTTCCCGTGTGTGACTCCGCCTGTCCCAGCAGCTGTCTGCACGAAGATCCCAGAGGGAAGGAAAAGAGAAGGCTCTGGGCCTCTTCATGGGGCCTTCCTGGGACCCCTTTTCTCTCCCCCTAAGCCAGGAAGCCCATGCTCCCTAATCTTCCACCCCTCCCCCTAGCCATCTGCTTAAAGGAAGTGGCTCCTCGGTTCCTCACAGGAAGCCTCAGTCCTCCTCTGCCTCCGCAACCTCCAGCTGCTGCGGGCCCGGCCCCTTCCAGGCAGAATACAGGGATGCCCTGTTCCTAGCATCACCCTCTGCTGCCCAGCCAAGAAGTGTGGAGTGCTCCTCTGTCCTTTAAATCCTTGTGGCTCAGGTCTGGCGGCACAGGCTGTGGGCCTGGAGGGGAGACCTGATTGCAGAGAGTCCAGAATGTCACGCTCAGGAGTTTGGAGGTCCCTGAATTGTAGGACTGAGGGTCTGAAGGGGAGAGGAGGGGGCAGGCCCTGCAGAGATCCTCGGATGGACCACTCCCCGAGCTTCGAGAGCTTCTACGGCATAGCAGGGTCAGGGTCTATTCATTTAGGTCCCTAGCCACCGCGGAGGGGCCTGCCCTTGGGAGGGCGCTTGGTAATTGTGGAGCTGCTCCAGGCTGAGGAAGGCCGATGAAGATTCCAAGGTGGGGCTGCACTGCCACCTGGTGGTCATTTCCGCACATAGCACCGTGAAATTGTAGGAGCCTCTGGAGGGAGAGGGAGTGGATGTTCAAGGGTGTGGGGACCTGGAAAGCCCTTTAAAGAAGGGAAATCCCTAGATAAAGGGATTTGTTAAAGAGCAAGACACGCCAAATTTGAGTGCTTGAGAAAGCTATTCTAGGTCTGGATGAGAGTCCAACTCCTCTCCTTCCCCATTTTACAGACTAGGAAACTGAGGGAAATGATAAGGACGGAGGACCTTGATACTGTCTTTTTTTTTTTTTTTTTTTTGAGACAGAGTCTCGCTTTGTTGCCTGGGCTAGAGTGAGTGCAGTGGCGTCAGGGTAGCTCACAGCAACCTCAAACTCCTGGGCTCAAGTGATCCTCCTGCCTCAGCCTCCCAAGTAACTGGGACTACAGGTGTGAGCCACCACGCCCGGGTAATTTTTTGTTTCTGTTTTTAGTTAACTGGCTAATTTTTTTTTCTATTTTTAGTAGAGACGGGGTCTCACTCTTGCTCAGGCTGGTCTTGAACTCCTGAGCTCAGACGATCCACCCGCCTCGGCTTCCCAGAGTGCTAGGATTACAGGCGTGAGCCACCGTGCCCAGCCAATACTGTCTTACGGCAAGTCAGTCAGAGATGGGATCTATTTCTGGACTCATCTTAAGGTGTGGTCCCAGAGTGAGGAGCTGCCTTGCTAGTTTCTAGTTACCCTCGTTCGTGACCAAACATGGCATCTCCCAGCACCATCGCCCATCACTTTAGTCATCAAAATTGGCACCACAAAGTGGCTTTTGGCTGCTTCCAAAAATAAAATTCACCCTGAGAGGGCTAGGATCTGATGGGGCCAGGGAGACTCAGAAGCATGTGCTGCCAGCTCAGCAGATGTTTTAGAGCAGGAAGCTCCAGAGACCCTGACATCCAACACCCACAACCCCTGTTTGAAAAACAAGGAAGTTGGGACTCAGAGAAAGTAAGTAACTTGGCTGAGGTGACCCAACCCTGGGGCTGGGTCAGGACTCAGCTCTGTGTCTCTCTGAAGGCCATTGCCAGGGAGGCATCTAGAGGTGCATTGAGCATCTCTTGACTTGTTGCACCAGTGAATCCTGGTGTGTGTCCACCATTCCGCCGCAGGCTTCGTAGACGGGATGATTGTGGTCCGTGAAGGCTGGCAAGGGCGAGAGTGGGTGAAAGGACGTGGAGCAAAGAAATGGTGACAGGGAGGGAGAAGAGGGGTCATGGGTGCTTTTGGGGGCTCCTCATTTGTGCACTGTCAGCCCCAAGTAGGTAGGAACTAGGTCTCTTCCACTGCAGTGTCCTTAGCACCTGGCACAGTGCCTCGTGCAGGGTAAGAACCCAGTGAATGCCTGCGGAATGAAGGCCCTGAGTTACCCCACGCAGGCCCAAGGGGATCCTGTGGAAGGTGGAGTATCCCCTTAAAGGACTGGTCATTTTCTTTTTTTCTTTTCTTTTTTTTGAGACAGAGTCTCACTCTGTTGCCCTGAGTAGACTGCCATGGCGTCAGCCTAGCTCACAGCAACCACAAACTCCTGGCCTCAAGCTATCCTCCTGCCTCAGCCTCCTGAGTAGGTGGGACTACAGGCACACGCCACCATGCCTAGCTCATTTTTCTATTTTTAGTAGAGACGGGGTCTCGCTCTTGCTCAGGCTGTTCTCAAACTCCTGAGCCCAAACAATCCTCCCGCCTTGGCTTCCCAGGGTGCTCGGATTAAAGGTGTGAGCCACCATGCCCGGCCAGGACTGGTCATTTTCAGTGTCATTCAGCCTGAGGACTGCCAAGGCCTCAGATCTAAACTCCTGGGGGCAGAGCTGTCTCTGTCTTGATGCTGTCCAAGGGAATAAATGGAAGGGGGTGCTTCTGGGGTAAGAGACCCTAATTTGGTGCCTACCTTTGGAAGAAAGCAAGAACATCGTCTGTGAGCCCCAGAGACAAAGCCCAACTGAGTTGGGTGATCTAATTCCTGGTTGTCACTTGGCTATTTCCTCTGTGTTTTATGCAAGTCCCTAACCATAATTATAATTGACATTTACTGAGTGCTTTCTGTGTGCTTGGGTTGTGTCCTTCCTTTCCTAGTCACAAGGCCTGTGGGCTCATGTGCAAACTGTTTGCCCTGTCCCCAGAGTTCTGTGAGGAAAGGGAGGTCTTGCTGACCCCTCAGAAAGTTGACGTCACACCCTTTCCCCAGAGCGAGGGTCTGGCCTTGTATTCTCCACCTGAGGTGAGCATGCTGGTGCTTCCCGACAGAGTGGAGACCTGGCTTCTCCATCTCTGCCTCGTCAGAGAAGTAACCAGAAGCTTCTCTCAGTGAGAACAAACTGAGCTCTCCCTCCTCAAGCACCTCATGAAATCAAGCCTGCCCATTCCTGCTGCGACAGGGGGAGCAGGAGGCTGTGCTGGGCAGGAGTCCAGAGGAGGCGATGTCTAAGCCGGGTTTGCAAGGACGGAAGGGACTTTCTCAGGCGGATCAGCTTCCGAAGGAATTCCAGGCAGAGAGAACAGCATGTGCTAAGGCCCAGACACAAAACCAGCTGGTTGGTTCCAGGAGCTGTGGTTGACTTGATGGGAAAATGGGGTCGGGGCTGTGTGGATGGAGCAGGCCAGAGCCAGATCATGCTGGGCTTCTCATTGCAAAAAATGACTCACAGAAGAACAAAGTGTTTTCTGAGAGACGTTTATTCTGTTTTCTCACCTATGTCATTGTGGAGAGTGACAGAGAAAGTGCTGGATTCTCACTGTAAGAGGGAGGGCAAGGAGGAAGGAGGGGGTTCCTGGGAGCCGGTGGCTACTCCTCATCCTCTTTCTTGCTCTCCACGTACTTGTGGGCGGAGTAGCCCAGAAGGGCACCAATGTTGCCCATGAGGACACTGCTGCCACCAGCCCCTGTAAAGCAAGCACAGATGGGTCACTAGGGCCCAAGCACCAGGTCTGGGAATCCAAGTGTCTGGAAACCATTGGTGGAGTCCCTGGTTTCCAGATGGAGAAACGGAGGCCCAGAGAGGGGATGGGGCTTCTGTGAAGGGAATTCTATTTCCACCCTGACTTGCTATGCCAAATCAGAGACGTGTACCGAGAGGAGAAAGCAGAAATAATGGCTCCTTCACTTCCAGTCTGCAATGAAAACACCACATTATTCATGATGCTGACAGCCACCTTTGGGGAGCCCTCACTGTGTGGGTACTGGGTGTTCACAAGCAAGGGATCATTTCATCCTTGTCACAGGCCTGTGACACGTGAGAGGACAGGGGACATCTTATAGCACAGGGATGTCCCTGGCCTTGTGGCCCACACCCTTCCCCTGCCACTGCAGGGGTGTGGCCTGGTCTGTGTCTTCCTCTCTGCGCCCTCCCAGAAGGGCTCTCTCCTTTTGGGCTGTTCTTCGGGCTTTTGCCATCCGGAATTGAGAGAAGATGGAAGGTTCAGAAAGGCAGAGGGGAAATTTGTCAGGGGCAGGTTTTCTCTAGGACTTAGGAGGCCTCAGAGGGTGGGAGGTAGAAAGAGAGAGAGAAAGAGAGAGAAGTGAAGGTGATTTTTTTTTTTAGAAGAGTCATTCGGAGCTCTGTATCTGTCCCCTTCGTGGTGTTCAAAAAGCGCATGTCAAGACCAGGGTTGGTGTGAGATTGACTCGGCTGGTTCCCCCACATCTCTCAGCCACTGTGGTCTCTGAGATTGAGCAGATTCAAAAAATGTTAAGCCGAGGATGACCATCCGGATTTACAGCTGAGGGAACTGAGGCTTGTTGTGACTTGGCCAAAGCATCAGTGAGGCGCCTGGCCTTAGAGGCTAAAAGTGAGGCTTCTGGAATCATACTGACTAGATTCGAATCCTGGCTCTAGTTCGAATCCTAGCTGGGGAAAATTGGGTAAATTACTTAATTCCTCGTTGCCTCAGTTTCCCTATGTGTGCTGAAAATAAGAAGAATATCCACCCCACCGAGCTGAGTTAGCCCGCGCAAAGGGCTCAGAACAGTAGAGAACGTCTCCACCAGAGGACCGCACTCACCGAGGCTCTGCAGCGTGGCCACCAGACCCCCAGCGGGCACGCCGCCCCCGTTCAGGACCGCAGACCAGCTCATCAGCGAGGCGGCCACCGAGTTGGCCGCGATGCCGGCGCCAGTGAAGCCCAGGACCGGCAGCGCCGAGACCGCGAGGCCTGGAGGAAGAGGAGGAGGAAGAGGAGGCGGTGAGCGAGCGCCGGGCAGGGGCAGGGGCAGGGGCCCGCCCCACCCGCCGGAGCTCCCCGCCCTCCAGACCCACCTCCTCCGACAGCCATGTAGGTCAGGGCGCTCCAGAAACCCCAGCCGCTGTCCTCTGAGCTCTCTTTTTCTCTTTTGCCTGCGGGAGAGCGGACGAAGTGGAGCGGGGGGAAGGCGCAAGGGTCCCCTGCCCTGTGCCTGGTGCTCCGGACCACTCCCAGAGGTGGGACCGCCACCCTCCCATTGAGAGAGCCTCACAGAGGGGAAGGGACCTTTCCCTAGGTGCCAAGCCTGGCACAGAACCGCCATGGAGTGTATTTCGGTGGAAGGCAGTAATTGACAGAGCAGGGGGATTTGAAACGGGACTCAGGCTACAGCAATTGTCCCCTGTAACAGCTCCTCTAGTTCAGAAGCACGCCAGGGCCTCCGCATCAGGCATTCTGACACTCTACACGGGATCCAGAAACTCTTCCCTCCTTTATCCCATGCTCCTCCCTCCCTCCAGGGTTCTTACCAGCTGCTCGCCCGACGCAGGTGAAGAGCAGCAGGTAGCACAGGAAGAGCGATACCGCCTTCTGCCGCATGGTGGCGCCGCGCGCAGGGTTTATCGCTAGACCTGAGGCGGGGTGAGAGACGGGGACGGTCCCCAGAGCTTTTCTGCAGCTCAGCAGCTCCCTCCTGCAATTCAGTTCTGACACTATACTGTCAGATCCCACAGACTGCGGGCTCAGTCCCCAAGACTGCCAGTCAAAAGCCCCAGGTTGTTTTACCTGTGCTTCTGAGTGACTGGCTGTTAATCGGAGTCCCCGCAATCCCCTCCTTGAGTTTGATTAACCTGTTAGAGCCACTCACTCAGGGAAACACTTTACTTGCATTTACCGGTTTATTCTAAAGGATATTACAAAGGATACAAGAACCTGCCTAGGGCTGCCAGCCATCAGTCAAATCATTAGACACTTATTACTCAAAAGACACATCACTTTGAAGATGTCAAGGATTTTAGGAGTTATATGCCAGAAAACAAGGGACAAAGATCAAGTATATATTTCACAAAGGGTAATGGAGCTTGCCCAAGGTCACACAGCAAATTGTGCAGCCTAGATACACATTCAAGACTGTTGGAATTCAAAACCTATGCTCTTTCCTTTATACCACAAAATGAGAAAATACATATGCCCCCTCAAACTCACCTTTAATGTGATTTTTGTCAGCTCAATGCTATTTCCTTAAGTTAAAAATAAACAAAAAGCCTCCCATGTATTGAGCACTTAGCACTTTATAGCACAAGGTCTATTCGTACCTATAAAAAACCCATGAAGTAGGTACTATTGTTATCAACCATGTGTTATAGATAAGGAAACTGAAGCTCAGAGAGGTTAAGTACTATTCCCAAGGCTGCCCAGCCAGGAAGTGGCAAAGTCAGGATTTAAACCCACAGCCGACTGATGCCCAAACCCACTCTTTCAACAAGCACTCCAGATTGCTTCACCTATCCTTAAAGATGAACTTGCTGTCACATTAGATCCTACAATAAAGGGGCTTCAGAAATCATCCAGCCCGGGCAACAGAGTGAGACTCTGTCTCAAAAACAAACAAACAAACAAACAAAAAACCCAGAAATCATCCAGTGCTTTGGGAAGGTAAGGTAGATTAATCTTCATCTTACAGAGGAAATAACTAAGGCCCCAAGAGGTGGAGTGACAGGGTTAAGGCCACAGACAGAGCTGGTATGGCACCTATAAGCTAGCTCATGTGCCTCTTGCGGTTTTATATCCCATCTCCCTAAAAGCCCCAACCCGTGCCCTTAGACTAGCCCCAGCCTAGGGCACTAAAAGGGACCCAGGGCTGCTGCCTCCCTGAGGAATGGGCGTCCTGGCTCTTGGAGGATGAGGCTCTCAGGCAGACAGCCTGACAGAGGGTGGCAGCTTTGATACCCACACTTCACAGCTCCTGAGTTTACCTTGGAGGAGAGAAGAGAAGCAATCTTCCTGCCGGAGCCTGCTGGTAGATGCAGCTGCAGCAAGCACACAGCTCTCCGGCTGCAGGCTGGCTTTTTATAATCACATTTGGATGCCCCCATCTCGCCCCAGGCAGCCAATCCCCGCCAAGGTTTCTATTTCCCTGCACTCTGCTGAGTTTCATTTTCCCCTCTGTGCGCTGCCTGCTGGTAGAAATGTGGAATTCAAGCTGGGGACTTGGAGAACAGCTAGGAGGAGTCAAAGCATGTCTCTCATAGCGGGACCATAGCCCTATGGGGCTCAGTGAAGCCTGACCGATGGCTCCCCTTGGGGCCTAGAGGATTTTCACAATCCAACCCAATTAATAACAACACCTAATTTAATCATACTTAATTTAATAATGAATACCTCATTGATTGAGCACTTGCTGCATGCCAGGGCCTGTGCAAAGTGCTCCATGTACATGATCTCTTTCCAAAATCCCACAACAATAGTCTTGTCACATGTGACATACCATATACTGTTTTTTTGTTTGTTTGTTTGTTTTTTGAGACAGAGTCTCACTCTCTCACTCTGTCCTTGGGGCTAGAGTGGCCATGGTATTAGCCTAGCTCACATCAACCTCAAAACTCCTGGGCTCAAGCAATCCTCCTGCCTCAGCCTCCCGAGTAGCTGGGACTACAGGTGTGCATCACCATGCCCGGCTAATTTTTCCTATTTTTTGGTAGAGGTGGGGCCTCACTCTTGCTCAGGCTGGTCTGGAACTCCAGAGCTCAAGCGATCCTCCCTCCTTGGCCTCCCAGAGTGCTAGGATTACAAGCATGAGCCACTATGCGCAGCTTATATATTGTTTATAAACCCCACAACACCTTGAAAATGAAGTCATTTGTTCCATTGTTCTCTCAGGCTGGCTGTTTCTAGGTGATGCGCATATGGTGAGACCAGCAAAGCCCATGTTCATGTGGCCAGCTTCATACATCCTTAGCTTTAAAATGGGTCTCCTGGCCCTAGGTAATGGGTTGAGCATTCTTTAAAGCCTTTGGATGGTGATGCTTGCAGAAACACTATGGGTAAGAAATGCAACCCGTATGTGGAGGACACAGTAATTCCAGTAGGGATGAATCGTTGCCTTCCCCAAAGTAGAAGGGGTCTGATATAATTGATCTGCCACCAGATGGCTGGTTACTCTCTCTGAGCTATGTTGCCATATTGCTACCTGCTGCCGGCACATTGGCTATTTGTTGGCAATTGCTAGATCAGCCTTGGTGAGAGGGAGCCCAAGTTGTCTGGCCCATTTCTAACCCCCATCCTGGCTATCATGGACACTCTTGTGTGGGTCTATTGCAAAGCAGCAGGGGGGCTAAGCTTAGAGGCAGGCTGACACCCGCAGGATGGGCCACCCTGGCCGCCTGGCTGCAGAGCCTCCTGTGCAGTAGAGGATCTCTGGTCAGCATGGATGTGAGACACGGAGATCCACATGCTTTGTGCCCACTCCTGTAGTTCCATCCATATGCCCTTGCTCAGAACTGCTTACTCCTAATCTTCCAGTCTGTTCTTCCCGTGACCTTGACCGACTAGCCAAGCCATTTGCCACTTATTAGGAATTGGTGTGTGTTTGTACCTTAGCCCAGCTCTCTCCACACAAAGGGGATAAGAAAGTATACTGCTCATAGTTCCGCGCCCTGAGAGGGTTCACTACTGTCCTTCTGGGTGACCCCCAACTGGGACTGTAATAGTGTGACACATTTTCAGCTTGTACCAAAATACTAACTTATCTGTGAATTGCATTCGATGTTTTTCTCCTTTGTCAGCTGGTTGCAGGGAACCCTCCATGAAGCCATAAGTGGGGTCAAAGGAGAGGTGTCAGATATACAAAATTAGGTGCCACAGAAACCCCCCTGTTCATTTAACTCACTTGTGCCTTTTGGACTCCTTTAGCCTTTGAATATACCACCTCTATCACATAGTGAATTATTGCTGTGCCTTTCTGATATCTAACTTAAGGTATATAGACACCTGGCATCTATTGGGGCCCAGTGACATATCGGGACCTTTTTTTCCCAAATGGACCATAGTGAACTTAGCCTTACTCCAGAGTCCTGGCAGATCTCACTGCAACTCTTTCCTTTGGACTTTTGGAGACTCCCTAAAGAATCTTTATGAATCTTTACCCAGATACATCCAGCAACATTTTGTCTTCAGGATCATTTCATCCCAAGTGGCAGTATAGCTTGTTTTGTGGCCTGAACCTCTCATACAGCTAAGAGGAAAAAAAACACTCAACATGCCTTTTCTATTCTCTCACTTAGCAACAACAATCAATACAGAAAACTTCTGTGACCAAATATGCAGAGATTTTCCCCCTACACCAAGCAGCAGACACCAGCTGGGTGTCCTGATTCAATTCTGACACTATCTACCTGGAGATAGTGTTATTAGGCAAATGGGCTCGCTGCCCAGTGCACACAGAAGCCAATATTGTGGCACCAGCTTTTGAGAAAAGACAGGCTTTATTGTAAGACAGGAGGAGACAGAAGGCGGACTTAACTCTACCTCCCTGATTTGGGGTCTGGGGCACGTGTAGGGGCTGAGAGAGCAAGAGGAAGCATTTAGGAACGTTGGCTTGGCAGGGTCTGATTGAAAGGCTTTAAATTTGACCATCTACTATAAGGTAAGTTGAAGCAGATTTTAGCCCTAGATCTTTTGGGCCAACAAACCCCTTGCTTTTGAAAGAGTCCTGGCATTTAGGTTTTGGTCATGTCCTGGTCTTTTTGGTTTTGAGGGGAGGAATCATTGGTTTTGAGTGTTGTTAGAGGTCAAGCTTTTTTTGCTGCATGTTGCCTGGGCTACATGACTTGCAGTTTTTGGCTCTATTATACCTATAAGGTGACTCAACATTTTGTTATTGACAGAATAGGCCCTGTTTGGACTGGTCCCATGGTTACAATAGCATCAGATCCCAAAGGTTGAGGGCTCAGTCCCCAAGGTTGCCCCCCACCCCTGAATTCGTCACAAGTCCGGGCCTCTGCAGAGAACTTCTGACCGACACGCTTCAAGGTGGTGTTTCATGACCCTTTCTTTGGGTTTGATTAATTTTCTAGAGGGGCTAACAGAGCTCTGGGAAACACTTACTTACATTTACTGGTTCATTATAAAGGATATTACAAAGGATACAGATGAAGAGATGCGTAGGGTGAGGTATGAGGAAGCGGGGAAGGGGCACGGAGCTTCCCTGTCCTCCCTGGCACACCACCCTCTACAAACATCTACCAGTTCGGCTACTGGGAGCTCTTCAAACTCTGTCCTTTGGCTTTTTGTGTTTTTTTTTTGAGACGGAGTCTCACTCTGTTGCCCGGGCTAGAGTGCCGTGGCGTCAGCCTAGCTCACAGCAACCTCAAACTCCTGGGCTCAAGCGATCCTCCTGCCTCAGCCTCCCAAGTAGCTGGGACTACAGGCATGTGCCACCATGCCCGGCTAATTTTTTATATATATATATATTTTTAGTTGTCCAGCTAATTTCTTTCTATATTTTTTAGTAGAGACGGGGTCTCGCTCTTGCTCAGGCTGGTCTCGAACTCCTGAGCTCCTCCCGCCTCGGCCTCCCGGAGTGCTAGGATTACAGGCATGAGCCACCGTGCCCGGCCTGTCCTTTGGGTTTTTATGGTGGCTTCATTACGTAGATGTGATTGATTAAACTGTTGGCCACTGGTGATCAACTCAACCTTTAGCTCGTCTCCCCTCCCCAGAGGTTGTGGGGTGGGGCTGAAAGTCCCAGCCCTCTAGTCCTGCCTTGGTCTCTCTGGTGACCAGCCCCATCCTGATCCACCTGGGGCTATCAGCCATCGGTCAACTCATTAGTGTACAAAAAGGCATCACTTTGCGGATTCCAAGGATTTTAGGAGTTGTATGCCAGGAAACGAGAATGAAGACCAAATTTATATTTCACAACAATATCACAGTCCACCCCCCAGTCTCCGATACTGCACCCCTTACATCAAAAGGATGTACAATTCAAAATACACTGCCACATTACTAAAATTCCATTCAATCATTAATAATTAGTCCAGTCCATCATACTGTATAAATGTCTTCCAGGGCGAGATCACTTTGCAGGCTTCATTCAATCTTGTCAGTTTCCAAAGCAAGAGTGGTCTCGCAAACATATAGCTTCCCCCTTTTAGGCAACTGGTATAATTGGGCTAAGAGACAATGTCATCTCTTACCCTGAGCCTCTTTGGAGGTGTTAATGTAATATTGGATTTCCCTCAATTCATAACCCTTTTATTCATTTCTTTACCCTCAGCTACTATTTCTCCTTCTCTCCATTAATATCCAAACTGTTCTACCTTTGGATGGGACTTCAGAATTGTCACCGTGCTGGTCTAGATTGCAGGCAGCAGTACTAGTCTAGCAAGTACCTCCTCCTCAGTCCACTCAGAAAGGTAACACAGGTGCAGAACTTGTGGGCTGTTTTCACCACCAGGCAATATAGCTGCATTCATTGTTAATCTCAATTTTGCACAACCCGCCTCCATCAGGCTCTTAGGAATTTTGGCATAAAGTTTAAGATATAGTTATAGTTTCTTGCTTAGGAATCATCCCTGCTTCCAGCACTTATGGTTGCAGCCCTGGTCCTAGGAATACTACATCAGGTGGGGGAGGGAAAAAAATTTTTTTGAAGTGATTTGGGGAAAAAAGAAAAAAAAATTATAGGTGTTATACTAGCGTACTCCTCCTTTGGGAAGAATTGCATAGTCATTCCAGCGTCCTCCCCACCCCCTCTTCCCCAGATCCATCAGAAAAATAGGAAAATCTAGTGGGGACTCTGCTTTAGTGTCATGTCACACTCATGTCGAGTGTGAGCACACACGCGAATGTGTGTAAACCAGCCCTTGATGCTTTAATCTCCCTCTGTGTTAGACAATCGATGTTTTCATTGCCTGTTCCACTTCTCCATCGAGCTATTACTTTGAGGAGGATCTCTCTCTGCCCATCGTTGGACATTATAGGCTGTACAGTGTGTTCCTTAGGCTGAAAAAATGATGGCCATCCATCCAAATCCATGCAATATCTTC